GAATCTAAAGAGGACGAGGAACGTGGAGGCGGAGGAGGCCAAGGTGGAGGTGGAGGCGGTGGTAGGGGTGAAAGGGTGATCGAGGGGGGCTACGACCGGTCGGCTGGACAGACGCATGGACGGACAGGATGGAAAGACAGACAGGACTGGAGACCGCTCATTACGGGCGGCGCATGCGCGAGGAATGCGGCGGCTCTGGTCTCCTCGATACAATAAATATAGGATCGGATCGGATCGGATCGGCAGGCCGGAGAAGACTGAGACCGTGTTATCGAGTAACGTGAACGAGAGATGAGGACGGAAGGAAGAAAGTAGAGGACGGACAGACACACACATACGCACACATAGATACACAAGATGGGGCACCAACGTTCAGCCGGAAAGTAAGGATGAATCGATGAACGAATCGGCGGACAACAATGCCGAGCGTAGTAACGACATCCAGTTAAATCGAACGCCAGCAAAAAAATACGCGGTTGTTTAAGAGAACAGGACTGTAGTGTAGCGTTGCAACGATCGATCCTCTGATCCGGCTTCCGGCAAACAACCGATCGATCGGCAACCTCTGTTATTACGTCCATCGGTGTCCGATTTCGATCGGTGCGCGACCGATTTCTGACGGGCTACCCTTTTTTCCACCAGCTCCGAACCGCGCTTCGATCGGCCCGGCTTGATGGACGCAGGCACCGCGCCGCGCCGGGCTGATTTCGTTATGCGGAGGAGATCGATCCAACGAGTTTGGTATGGCGGGATTAAGTAAGTAATGGGAATATGAAATATTTTCGGATGTCAACGCAGTCGTTCGTAAGTTATTGGACAGTTATTGTCCGCATTTTTGTTTCTTCCTTCAACGAAGCTCCTTCTTCCGTACCCGTTCGTCTAATGATAAAGCTGTGGAACTGCAAAAACTTCGTTTTTTAGGAGAGAAGGAGACTATTTTGTCGATTAATTTGAAACTATCTTTGCACCGGTTTTATCCGTCAATTATGCAACTTTGTCGAGTTACACGAGATTCGCAAAAATTGTCACTTCATCATGGGAAAGATGATACGTGGTCTAGAATGGTGATTCATAAAAATCTTTCGTAAACGAAAGGGAAGATAGCTACTAATTTCAATCTAATTTAGAAGACTATTCGGTCACTTGTAAGGTACAAATGTCTCCTCAGCTAACACAGCAATTAATCACGTTTAACTCAATTCAAGTCTCTCAATCAGACGAGTTTCGCAAACTCCGTGAAATGAAACGAACGCAAAACCAGATTGCAATACTTTGTTGTTTCACGGAAAAAATCTGACGGTACGGTTACCAGAATGACGATCGAGTTATCGGGCAACATTAATTAAAACCATTAGCGGGACAAACCGATCGACGGTTAAAAAGCGCGCAACCAGCCTGATAATCCGGACACGTTTTTTATTCATTACCGATAATTTCCCCCGAACAACGCCATTAGGCGCAGTAGGAGAGGAGAATGGCGCGAGCGATCGAGGGCCCAGCGAGCGTTCGCAAGTTAAAGGATCAGGGTGCACTTGAAAGATGGGCACCCGGTTTAAAATTGTAGGGGAGCGGACGTGGCCGATGTATTCGCGATATAAACGCTGATCAATCAGCTCGCCGGAGCATTTAATCGATAGTTCAATAATTATTAACCTGGCTCTCAGAAACGGGCCTCCGCAAGATTGCCCGCTTTACGAATTCCCATCCTGATAGTTTTGTTTCGCGACTTTATAAATTGCCTGTCTCTAACGATCTCTTTCAGATGAACAGCTCATTAACGACGCGTATAAATTATTCCAACGATATTTCAACGATATCGCTCGATCGTGCGTGCGTTCATCCTCCTCCTCCTCCTCCTCCTCCTCCGTCCTCCGCCTCCTCTGCCACTCGCTGTGGTTCGTTGGCTCGTTAAACGAAAGCCTTTTTTCTACCGTTCACCTTCGATTTATCGACGAACGTTTGATTCTATGTTAGGGAAAACTGCTAATAATGTATCAATTTCGACTGTGTGCGCATGTAAATCGCGGAGCAAGGTGATTACACGTTGTTAATGTTCCGCTCGGATCTCGTTCTCGCGTACCTGGTTATCGGCGATGGCCGTCTTTCAACCACGAGAAACTTTCTTCCAATCTTCATATACAACTTCCCTCGTGAAACTTCAACGAAAACGTCAGTATCGCATTCGGTGCTTTAAACGGTTATGAATGTTACACGGTGAAGTTCACGTTGCAGAGGTTTCGCGCGGAATTGAAGTGTCGCGATGAAGATATTGATAAAGGACGATTTATTTCGACTGTACAAAGTGTTCCAAGCGAATAGAACCACTGCATCCAAAAATATGGGATTCCATTTAAAGGAACCAATTGCAAATGCACTTTTCTGACGCACAATTAACTCGAGAATATGTAGCACTTTTAATTTTGTCCTATGGCATCTCTAATCATTTCAAAGATACAGTCTGTCCCATTTGCCTGAGACACCCAGTATAAAGAGACAGGAAGGTGTGCGTACGGTTTGTGACGGAAAAGAGATTTCACGAATGACGAAGTGAAGGAAAGAAGGCCGGATCGGTGTGTAATACGCGATCGTTTTAACGACGAAACTTCCCGGGACCAATTTATTCGTTTGCACGAGGCGTTCCAGAAGGAGAAGCAAAAC